TAAATTATTTTAAACTAATTAATAACAATGTCCTCATGCTAATGTGTTTGTTAGTTTTTTGTGTTTTAATGTGTTAAAAGCTCGTAATTTGTTCAAACTAAAATTGGAAATTCTATTTATAATACACAAGCGAGCAACTAAAGCCAGGGGGGGTGTGTAGAATTTTTGGAGTAAGAAGTTATTTGGTTTTTAGGCTAGTTCCTAGTTTTAAATTTAAGTACTAGCTGGGGGGGGGGGGGGGCTTTTTAGGCTTCTTTATAGATGGCATTTTGTCTTTAAAAGATATATTTTAAGGTTTTTTCTTTCTCTCTATTACCTTTAAGACTTTTTTTGGTTTAGTTTTTGTAATTTGTTGTTTTACTATGAATATTGCTTTTTATCAATGAATATTCCTGCATTTAGTTTTTTTTTTTCTTTAAATTTATTTACTGAAAAAAAATGTTTTTGGTTTTTTTTATAAAATTGGTGTTAAGCTTTATATTTTCTTTTGTTTTGTTTTTATTTTTGCTTAATGCATTTATTAATTTTAAATGTATGTAGATCGTTCTATACGTTTGAAATATTTTTCTTTATTTTATTTAATGTTTTTGGTTTATTTAAGCTTTATTGGCATGTAATTTGTTTTAGATTATTTTATTTTAAATTTTACTCCTTTATGGTATTATTTATTTAAATTGTATTTTATGTTGAAGGTAAAAATGTTTTTTTTTTTTTTGTTTGTTTGGTATTTTGTAATTTATTTAAATCTAATGTAAGTTATTTTATTTATTTTAAATCTAATGTAATTTATTTCTTTTTTTAAATAACAAGTTATGGTCATTTAAAACAAACATTCTAAATACTACAAAGCTGTTTAGTTAATTGCTCCCTGCAAAACTCTGTAACAGCAAACAAAGTTTTTAAACAGCTGTTTGTTATTAAAGTTTGCTGTGACCAAAGTTTTGTAAGATCAACTAAATATTTGCCCAAATTCTTGCTTAAGCTTTATATTTCCCGTTATTTTTATTAACCTGACCATAACTTTTTTTGTTTATTAATATTTCTTCCTTATTGTGTTTTAAATGTCTGTGAAAGTGAACAATATTTTTTGAATGAAGTGTCTTTTATAAGTGTTTGTGTGTCTGTTAATTGTGTCTGATTAAAAATGTTTTATTTTTTAATATTTAACTATTGCGTTTTATGTAAAATTTGTCGTATATTTTTATTTATTTTTTTTTTTTAATTTTCATAGTATTTTTTTCATTTTCTATATAATTAATTTATATATTGTTAAATTACGTTAAAAAGTTTTTTTTGTTTATTTTATTTTTTTTTATCATTTTTCTTGTTCGTGATTTCTATACGCGTTGGCAGTGTTTTCATTGAACAAATATCCAAAAACTTAGAAGCTTTTTTTTTTGGTTTTATTTTCTGTTGTTGTATAGTGTATTGACAGGATTTTAAATGTATGCATTCATTCGTTAAATAGTCAGTAAACATATAAAAACGTTTTGTTTATATTAAATAGTAATTTAAATAAATTAATAAATGTGTTTTATTTTAATTAAACTCATATTTAAAGTTAGTAATAATATATTTGTTTTGCGATTTTTTGAATTATTTACAAAATATTTACATAAACTTTTTTTTTCTATCACAAGCAGAGGAATTACAGCTCTATTCTTTTGCCAGCTTTTTATGGCGACATCTTCCATTCAAAATTTTCCCACGCTTCCATAAGTCCTTGTGCTAAGTCTTTTGAAACCTTTTGCTTATTTGCAAAAGTCATGACACGTTTTAAAATTCATGGATTTGTTGATGTGTTCTTCTTTTCCTTTTTTTGGAGAATGATCTCTACGACAAAATACTAAGGATTTTTGTTTATTTTTATTTAATAAACCTAGTTTTGAGTTAAAGCTCAAAATTCCAGGCACCTAAGTGTTTTGTAAAGTTCATTCAATATGAAATTTGACTTCGAATGGAAGATGTCGATCAAATATCAGGAATCTTTCTGTATAATTTTTGACATTAATACAACTTCAACTGAATCATATGTTTCTACGTCTATATCGTAATCATACTCCCTTGGAATCGAGTATTTTCGAAATGGGGTTCTAAATTCTACATGAAGGATGCAAATTCCGATAGATAGATGTCTTTGAATAGAGCCATTTCAGATTAATTGTCGTGGAATTAATATTTCAATCATTATGGACATTGCAAGAACATCGTAAGACGTTGTAAATTCCACCTGAGGAATGCAATTACCGGTTGATAATGCGGTTCATCAATGACAGTGACTTTGAATCGAGCCATTTCACATTAATTGTCATGGAATTAACATTTTAAACATTATCGACATTTCAAGAACTTCAAAAGACGTTCTAAACTCCACCGGAGGAATGCGAATTCCGGTAGATAAAGTAGTTCATAAAAAACAGTGACTTTAAATCGTGCTATTTCACATTAATTATCATGGAATTAACATTTCAATCATCGACATTTCAAGAACTTCGTAAGGCGTTCAAAATTCCTTCTGAGGAATGCAAATTCCGGTAGATAAAGCAGTTCATCAAAGACAGTGACTTTGAATAGAGCCATTTCAGATTAATTGTCGTAGAATTAACATTTCAATCATTATGGACATTTCAAGAACATCGTAAGACGTTCTAAATTTCACCTGAGGAATGCAAATTCCGGTAGATAAAGCAACCATCAATGACATGTGTGAATCGAGCAGGTTCAGATTGATTGACGAGGAATTAATATTTCAATCATTATTGACATTTTAAGAACTTCATAAGACGTCCTAAATTCCACCTGAGGAAAGCAAATTCCGGCTGGTAAAATAGTTCATTAATAATCGAGAATGAACCGATTAATTGTCGTGGAATTAACAATTCAATCATTATGGACATTTCCAGGCTGATAAAGCGGTACATCGGTGACAGAGAGTGATTCGAGCCATTTCAGACTGACATTTTAAGAACATCGAAATACGTTCGTCTAGATCGTAAAAGTGGGTCGATTGAATAACAACTATTGACATTTCAAGAACTTCGATCCGGTTGATAAAACAGTTCAAAATTCTCCTCTAACTGATAGAGTCGAACAATTTATAGGAAAATGTTTCAGAATATAAAATTTATTGCTAGATCTTTTAAAGATATTAGTTTCTCTTAGGTAACCTTGGATCGTATCGAAACAGATATACATATACATATGTTATTAATTCACTCAATATCTTAGACTTGACTTTTAATGCAGTAATATTCACTTCCGAATTACCTATTTCACTATCTATCGATGTACAGTATAAATCGGAAACAAAAATATATTTGTTTCTCTAATAGACATACCGATAGAGGACCTCGAATCATATCGAAACAGATATACAACCTCTTACTAGAAATGGCCGAATACTCACAATGTATTTCGCTTGTATTCTAAGAGATGCGGACTGTGATAACGATCATTTCCGAACTACTTATCTCACGAGCTATCGATGTATATATCGGAAACCAAAATATATTATTTTCTCATAGATATTACACCGATTGATTTCCGGTAGAAAAAATATATGTATAGATTTTCGATAAAGGACCTCGGATCGTATCGAAATAGATATACAAGAAGTTACTAGAAACGCCCGCAATTCTGGCTGTTGTTAGAACTACAGCGGTATCGTCTTTTTAAGGCTTTAGAAAGCCAGATATCGTAAATATATTTCGATTGATTTTTTAGACGTTTTCGAATTTGGTCATTCTGGAACCCTGTGTTGTGTAAATAAATCAATCATCGCAATCTCTTTGGAAAATTTGAATCTCTTCCGTAACTATATATCACAATAAGGCTTCGGGTCGTTTCAAAAAATAAATACATAGATCCAAATATCGTGGCGTACTACATATTGTCTTAAACGTTTTTTTAACATAGATTTGCAGTTAACAGAGTTGTATTACTCAAAAACAGAGTTGCATTTAAATGCTAAATTTTTGCCAATGAGAAGTTTCCAAGAGAATAGAGCTGCATGCTAAAACTTGTCGTTATATTTAAACTCTGCTTGTGTAACTAACGTAAGTTTAAACGTTCTTTAACTTTCTTTTTTTTTTATAAATTTTTAATTTTTTTTTGTGTGATTTTTTTATATAGAAGCTTTTAAGAACAATTGAATATTAGAGAGAGTGTGTGTATGTGTGAGTGTATTATGTGTAAATGTGAAAGAGTTTTTGAAAAAGAGAGTTTTGTGAGACTTTTTACAATTTTCATTCGTTATTTTTTATAAATTTTTTTTGTATGTTTTTCTTCGAGTATCAATGTAGTTTAGCAATAGTTTGTTTTTGTTTTTCTTGAGTTTATGTAAATAAAAATAATAATTATAATAATAATAAAAAAAAACTTCACATGCATTAATGCAAAAATTTTAGAATTTATGTTAATCATTTTAAGTTCAGTAAAGCTGATTTTGATGCTCAGTATATTTTGCTTTTCTTGTTTCCTAAAAACAGTTGTCTCTTGTCTGAAACATAATCAGTTTTTAAAAGCCATTATCATTTGTGTTCTATTTTAACTGCTTGGCCTATTCAATTCAAACAATTGAAATTGTTTAGTTGTCTTTACTAAAAAAATTTTAAGCAGGCTTTTTTTTAATTAAGTTTTGTATTGTTGTAATGTGTGTGTTTTTTAAGTTTGTTTCGTTTACGAGAAGCTGTTACATTTTGTTTATGGTTCTTAAGCTTTAAAAAAAAGTACAATAGTTTTGTTCGTTTGTATGTTTTTAGTTAAGCTAGTCTTTTTTTTCTTTTTTGTTGGTTGTTTTAAGTTGTCCTTGCCTTAGTTTTTTGTTAGCGAAAGTTTTTGGTATTTTTGTTTTTAGTTAATTTGTTGTTAATAAATGCTTCTTTTTCATCGCTAGATTTAATATTTAAATTTTATAATATTATTCTAAACTACCATTTTGTTCCATTTAGAATTTTATTTTGTTATTTGTTAAATTTAAATTTTTCTAGTTCATTATTTTGTTTTTAAATTGTTTTTTTTTTTTTTTTTTTTTTTTTTTTTTGATTCACAATCATTTGCTTTAGTTAGTAGTACAGTTTTACTTTTTCTTTCATTTCATTTTCATAATTTCTTTAGCTTGTCTTAATTAATTAAATTAATTTTTCTTGTTTAATGTGTAGCTTACCTTACTAATGGTTCCCAATTGCTTATATCACACCATCTAATGTTAGTTTCAAATTTTTAGTTTTGTTTATTTGGTTAGTATTTTAGTTGTAGTTTTTTGTTAGAAGTTCATACATTTTAGGTTAAACATCAATTAGTTGATTTTACAGTTCCCAGTTAACACAACATAACATTTACAAATTAAAAGAAATACATATAAAACAAAAAAATTGGAAATTTTATTAATAATTGTTAGTTAAAAAAATAATAAAATTTAATTACCGTAATAAATATAAAACTTGAAAATAAATTAAAATTACACCTTACCTTTTCATCGTAGTCGGCCCACTAATGTTGTAAAAAATTAAAAGAAAATAAAAAGAAAAATAATTAAATTAAATTAAATAAATTATTTTGTGGTCATTCATTATCACTTTATATTTGTCTTAATTAAATTTGTTTCCTTTGCCACTGTGGGCAAAATTTAGCAATAGTTCCTGTTGCGATTTTACAATGATTGATGGTCTCAATAATGTTTAATGCTGATGTCTGAAATGTATGTGAATTTCCTTTCGCTCATAAATCGTTTAGATTCAAAATGTTCCACAAAGACAAAAACTTTGGATGTTGTAAAGTTCAGATGTATTATTCGTAATAAAAGTTTAACAATCTCTATTGAAATTTTGCTGACTGGCAAATTCAGTTATTACAATTAAAGCTTATTTTTTCTCAGTGTATGAGCTTATTCCAAACATTAATTCGAACTTTACCGCGAGTTTTTCAAATTTGATTGAAACTTGATTGAGGAACTTTATGGCTTAGATCAAGGAATCCTTAAAAGTCTTTGCAATAGAATTCCAAACATATTCACTTCCAAATATTTTATATATATATATCCAACCTCAGAGCCATAATTATTAAATGGTTGCTGGTCAAACAGTCTCAAAATAATCGATATCTTTGTTGGGGAGAATATTCGAAATAAATAGCTTTGAACAAACGTTTTCGTTTCGAATTCTTCCTAACAAAAACCCATTCCGATTAAAGGAAACATATTGGGGTTGAACTTGTTTCATGCACAGAGGGAAAAACGGTGGAAAAGTACCGAAATTTATACAATCCGTTGTCAAAAGTGAGCTTACCACGTTTGCTAACATTTAGACAACGGATGTGTATACAATTTAAATAACACCCAGTTATCATTTTGAAAACCACCGTTATAAGTTGGACAGCACCTCGTTGTCAACAACGCATTAAGTCATTTTGGCAATGTATCGTTGTGATTTCGACAGCGAATCGTTATCATTTCGACATCTCAACGTTCTGTTTGACAACATAGCGTTGTCACTTTTGAAACACGTTATTATTTTTTTGTTGATTTGATAACGTTGTGCATTTTTTATATTTTTGTTGTTGATTTGACAACTATCCGTACATTCTTTGACAACGGATGTTATTGAAAAATTATAAACACTTTGGTGTCAATTTTGTACCAAGCATATATAATTTTAAAACGTCTTTTTTTCCCTCTGTGTAATAGATTTGTAGTAATTCTCTTTTGAGTCATTCCAAAATCCAGATCTGGAAGTTGTTAGAACTACAACTGTAACATTTTAAGGGTTTGCTTCCTTATCATAAACATAGTCCGATTGATTTTCTAGAAGATTACGAATTGTTTCGAAACAAAACTTTTATTCATTATTCATTGGCAGCGAGTAATTCGAGTCATCGGGAATCCTCTGCTGCTGTTGAAATAACTCAATCATGATGTCTCTTCAAAAGATTTGATCCTCTCTCGGACACTTGTCCGATTCGGGGCAATATACAAAATACGATTATATTTTATTTTCATAATTTTTCCCCGAGTGAAACCAATTCTAGTTGAGAGTTACGTTTGGAACTTTTCGGAGCCAAAATAGATTTAAGATTAATCCTCGGATCATAACGCGACGGAGATCTCCAAATGTTTCTTCCTTGAATAAAATAAATTCATGTTGTTGGAATTGTTCGTCTTTGCTAGATAACTTGCGCCAACGTTTCTACTTCCTGGTGTCTTTTCGAAACCAAGATCTAATTGTCGAGAACCACGCGAAATCCGATAAAAGGTTAAAGAGGTTTGCTTCCCTCTCATAAACATAGTTCGATTGATTCGAAACGAAGTATTAAATGCGGCTATTGGTTGGCTTAGGGTTACTTGAGTCATACGGATCCTTCTGTTGAAATAACTCAATCACTGTTGTCCCTGTAAAAGATTTGAACCTCTCTCGTAAACTAGCCCTATTTGGGCAATTTTAAAACCGAGATCAAAAGACAATTCATAATTCTTCCTCGAGTAATGCAAGTTCTAGCTGAGACAGTCGTTTGGAATTACTCAGAGCCCAAATTGGATGTAAAAAACATATTTCGATACATTTAAGAGTATGCCTCAGACCATAACGCAAGAGAGTTCTAATGTTTCTGCCTTGAATAAAATAAATTTATATTGTTGAAGTTGTTCATCTTTGCTAGATATCTCGAAGCAATTCTAGTTAATAGAACTTTTCCACTTCCTTGAGAAAAGGTACTCGTGTTTTTCCGACACCAGGATTTGATTGTTGTAAAAGCAACAATGAAGTACTACGCGATATCGCATTTTCGAATATCTTGAGAATAGTTGTTACTTTAAAAGGTTTGTTATTCTCAATTTTTTCCGCAAGGAATACAAAATGAGCCTGATCGAACGTTAAGCTCAAAGCCGATTAAGGACTTAATCGCCTTTGGCAAATTGATATTGAAGACATGTAAAATTTCAAAAGTACAAATTCCTTAAATGTTTTAATGCTCTTGCTATCAACATGATCATGATACAGTAATAGTGATACATTATAGTTTGAACCACTGTTTTATAATATAAATTAAAATGATTAAAAAAACGAAATACACAAAATCATAAGAATAATATAAATGAAAAGTTTATTGATAAAAATAATTCAAAAAATATATAATAATAACTCAAATTAAATTCTAAATAAACAATATTTTAAAATAATTGATCGAGCAAGACGACTACAACAAAAATCTTTAAAACTTAAAATAATATTTTTTTTTTGTTTCTTTAAAACTAATCAAATATTTAAAAGAAAAACTAACTAATTATTTTAATAACAATAAATGTTAATTCAAGTAAGCAATTGAAAAGGTTAAAAGGATAGTTCAAAGATATATAATGATAGAGAGTGAAAGATAGATTTATTACGGTTTTTAATAAAAAAAAATAACTAAAATGTCATGTTAGTTGAGGTTCTAAATAGGGCTAACGGAATGGTGTGGGAAGCAATAATTTAAACAATTGAACGTTGGTTGGTAAATTTGTTTTTAAGAGATTTTTTTCTATTCTTGTTTAGATGTATACAATTATATTTAGTTAAACATGATTTTTAATTGTTGTTTGTCTTCTTTTTCTTTAATACTCTATAAAGAATACAATTTTTTTTTTCATTTAAGTATTCCGGTTTAATGTTGCGTTTAAAATCATTATTAAATCATGTTTAAATAAATATAAAATGCACAAAAAGACAGATTTTTGGCGATAATCTGAATATAAATATAAAAAAAAATTTCGTTAGATTTTAAAATAATTTTGTTCTAGAATTGAATAATTTAGTTCTGCTTAATAAGATGCAGTATTTGCCTAATTTGTGTAAAAAATATGCCTATGGTTTTGTGCCAAAATTGTGTCAGTTTGCGCATAAAAGAAATCTCCAACGTTCAAATGTACGAGTAAGGACCATCAGTTAAGGCGCTACACAGTAACAATCAGGAATTATCATCCTTATTTGAACCGCCCCCACCGACCCCGGAGCCTTGTGTTGTAGTACTGCGGCCGCCGGTAGGCGCACGTACCGCAGGTGGTTTATACTCCAGACCCGGATCAAACTGCATTAAAACGAATACCTTAAATAGGGGGGAATTTTTTTTAATAATATTTATGAGAAAATTAAGGTAAAAATAGCTTTGAATATTTTACCTGATCTGTTGGCAGTAGTGAAAAGTCATCGGGTGGGTTTGTTATGACATAACGTTTGCTACTGGCATCACAACTGGAGCTTGTGTCACGAAATCTGTAAAGGCCAATACATAACATGCCATATGATTTCAATGCTGCCACAAATAAGTCGCCATATTTGCCGCATTCACCAAATTGCGCTAAAGGACCATCATACAATGATATTTGACCCACTCGGCATCTGTTTTTTTTTTAAGAAAAACATTTAATACCAAATAATATTTTAAAAAAATGTATTTTATGTTCAAAACTTACCTATCTCTATTACTTAAACTTTCCGGCGTACTATAACCTCCTCTTAAACCGGCTCCTTCTGCCAATATCAATTCTAGTTCCGGTGTAGCACCTCCTGTTATCAACGATCTTATTAAGGTCAAGGCATTTTGATTGAAATATGTCTAAAGTTTCGAAAAAGATTAAAATTAATACAGTTTGTTTTTCCGTGTCAATATAAGGTATATTTTCGTTTCTTTATTACCGTGGACATTAACGAATCTAAGACACTAACGGCAAATGCTGTGCCGCAAGCGAATGGCTGTGTTAGGTAGAGTTCGGTGTCGGGATCATCGTCATCGTCTTGATCGAGAAACTGCACATTACTATCGTTGACAAGTTCTTTAACGCAAACAACCAAAACGGGAGTTTTTTTATTTAATAAAAAACTTACTTTTAGAAAACACTTAAGTTGTTACACATAAGTATAAAAGCCAAAAGGTGAAGGGTTGTGAAAGTTCATTGATATTAAAATTTTGGAGACTTTGAAAGTATCACCAACTACTAAAAATCTGTTGTTATTTCCAAATTTAGATGATGAATGAAATTAAACTTTCCAACTAATCAATTATTGTTTTCAATATAAAATCTAAATTCTTTTTAAAGTGACAGGATGTTGTATATAAAAATTACCAAAACTGCAACGGGCTCGAAGGACCAACTGTTTTTACTACATCAACAATCAGTTATTGTTCTCAATAAAAAAAAAAAAAACAACCACGTATTACTACATCGATAATCAGTTATTATTCTCAATAAAAATCTACTGAGTTTCACACTTTTTAAAGTGACAAGATTCCGTTATATAAATGTTATAAAATATTAGAACTAGTACTGCATCGGGATCGAAGGACTATTATTTATACTAAAAGTAGTTCGAAGGACCAAGTGTTTGTTAAATATACAAGATTCTTTTAGAACTAGTGATTAGAATGATTAAATTTGTATACTGCATCGGGTCCAAAGGACTAATAGTTTATACCAAAGAATAAACAAGAAGTGAAACGCTGTCATTTTTTTACAACAATAACATTACGCTCTTCTCACAGACGAGTGCTGTGTAAATCCAACACATATGTAAAAATGTTATTCTCTCTCCAAACTTCAAAACTTTTTCGCGAAAATTTGAGGATAATAGCACTTTGAAATATTTTTTATCACTTAACATTATATTTCATAATTTTTTTGCACAATTTAAACACATTTAATAGCCCGAAAATAATATATTTTCTACAAACGAAAAAAAAATATTTTTTATTTTTTGACATTGAATTTTTGTTGGTTGAAATTAAAACTAAAAAAAACAATGTTGTAAATTTTCGTATGGTAAACGTAAAATATATTTCAAATAAATAATTTATTTTTCCAATATTATAGATTAAAAAACAAATAGACGTGTTTATAAAATGTTTGTAGATAAAATATGTGGAAAATATCTCAAGAAACCTTTCAAAGTATAAATTGAAATGTAATATTTTTTTTCAATATTTTTCAATACGATTTTTTGCAACTATGTTGACTTGAGAATTCTACTAATACATTCTTAGAGTAAGGTACCGGATGACAGTAGACTTAGGTACTTTTGACAGCAGTTTCATTTCTTATTTATTCTTTGGTTTATACTATATCGACAATCAGTTATCTTTCTCAATAAAAAACAGCAGAGTTTCACTCTTTTTAAAGTGAAATTTAAAAAAGATTTTAGAACTAGTTATTTATGCTGAATCTGGCTCGAAGAACAAATTGTTAGTCAATAGAAATTGTTAATTTTTTTTGAAATATAATTTGGAAGGGTACATGTCAACTTTCGTGCCTTACTTCCACTAAATAGCTTTTTGAATTTCTATTTAAATCCAAATTTTGAGAATTTTTTTCTAATTTGTACAACCCTTCCCTTTTTAGCTTTTCTTTTGGTTAGACTTTTGGGCGTTAGTAGATTTGGGGCTTTTACAATATCAACTTTAAAACTCTGGTCGAAATCGGAGAAGGAAATTTTTAATATAAAATTCTTCTTTAAAGAAGTTTTCTGTATTTCAAGAAAAATTCTTGAAAGAAAATATATAATTTGAAGGAGTTTTCTTGGCTACAAGAAAAATCCTTCAAATGAAATAAAAAAATACAAGAAATGATTTAAAATATATAATGTGAATAATTTAAAAAAGTAAAACACAATTAATCTTTTAAAAATTAAAGAAAACGTTAATTAGAATAATCTTAAAATAATACAATTATTAAATAGAATTTAAGTATAAAAATAGAACTCAACATTTTTCTTATTTAACACAAACAAACATATTTTAAAAGAAGTAATAGCCAAATTCTTTTGAAGAAGTTTTCTCTATATCAAGAAAAATTCTTCAATAGAATTTGCTTATTCAGCAAAATAAAATGAAAATAAACTTGAAATCTCTTTCTCTAATCTCTGACCGTTTTTATTTGAATCTCTCAAACTCAAATAAAAACTTTGTTGATATTGCAAAAAGCTCCATTGGCTTAATTCATAGATTAATAACATGTATTAATAATTTTGTTGTTATTTGTTTGGCAACATACACGTACACAAACAAATACACACAAACAAAATTTAAAGCGCAAAAGCTTTGGTCGTTTTTTTACAAACACAGCCAACTTAGTGCAATGCAGTTTACCTGTTATCATTGGGACATTTGCCCCATAAACGGAACCGCGACGCTGCAACACTATCGGGCTGCCCGCCGCAGCCGTTAGATTGTCAAATTCTGGACCCCGTTGACTCAGCACTCCGATGGTATCGTCAAAAGTCATGGCTTTTATATTCAATGATGCCAAAATAGCCTCTTTGTCGGCCAATGTAGGATCATCATTGCTAGGAACTTTGGCCGATAGTATGCAACACATGTCGCATAGGTTAACATTTACGGCTCTTAAATCGGCTCTACTTAACGGAGAACCATTTAACACCGAAATTTTCGGCAGATTTTGTAACATCTTCCATTCCCGCCTTATGTAATCAACTGATCCCACAATGACCACATGCTTCAATTCATGGTAGTGAAAGTTTGAAGCACGCAGAGGCATGACTAAATTTCGTAAACCAATCAGAGGTGAGTCAGGATCGGCGAAAAGGCATACAACGACATGACCATTTAAAACTGTCATGGCCGCTTGATTACGATCCTATAGTTTCAATAAATAAAGAGAAAATATTAAAAAAATACAAAATAATTTTTAATTAATGACAATAGTCTTCGGTAGCCATTTTGTGAATATATTTTACCAATATACAGTCTTCTAGACTCTTGGCGGGACTCCAGTGGAACATACCCGTTGAATCATATTTCATTTCGGTCTTTTCAAAATCAAAATCTTTCGATTGATCATCCGCAATACCGGCCGGCAGTGTTACACCTCCATTTTGATTTTGTGATGTACCCGTACTACGACTCGTGGGCCTACGATTATTTATAAAAAGATAGAAAGAGAAAAGTTTGAATTAGAATTTATTTTCCCAGCTATGGCAATAAGTAGGCGTCAAGTCATCAATAGGCATTTATTTGCTTTTTTTTGTACTGAAAATGAGTGCTAAACATCAAAATGCAAAAAAATTTTTTTTTTTTTTAACCCAAATAAATATAAAGTTTTGTTTTAACATTTATTTGGGCTACTTTTATTATTTAGCTAAATATATTTAAAAATAAAAATACTTGCTAAACATTTATTTATATTATAATAATTACGAAAGAAACTTTTTTTAAAGCTACTTGAAGAGAAAATTTATAAACAAAAAGATGTTGTTATAGAGAAAAAAGTTTGCAAAATTTGAATATGAAATAGAGAGTTATAGAGAAAGATAGAGAGAATGAATGTTGTTTGTTAGTAGTTTTCGAGCAAAAATTTGTATGTGATCCTGAGTGCTGGTTAGTAGTGGTGAGTTCAATGTTTATGTGATGATCTGGTGACTTCTGAAAAGTTTTAAATTTAGGCCATCGACGAATATTAATAAAAATATTATTTCTATTAATATTTTTTGAGTTATATCCCAAGTTATATTTGCCGCTATATTGCTCATTTAATCCATAGTATTTTATTGTAGATAAATTTTATGACACAATACGAATACATAAGAGGTGTTAATTGACCTCTTCTAGGTCATCATTATGTTACAGTATTAGAAAAACTACTGATCGCTATTTATCACCAAAGGATTTGTGATGAGTTAGTCTATTTGCTTTGGCCTTTAAAAGAATTGAAAACTACTTGATCTAGAGATCACAATCTATTTAATGATTATTCTGAAAGTAAATTCTTCAAAAGCAATTTACACTTATATTAAAGTATCATGATCATTTTTTAAAGATGATCATGACTAATATAGCTAATATTTCTATTTGAAAGAGTATATGATCATATTCGATCTAATATTTAGACGATCGTGATCACTGTAGTAAATATTTCGAAAGCAAGCAAAAGCATTGTGTTCCCTAAAATATATAGTTTTTTTAGCCCCACGAAAATGACATGATCAAGAGATCATGATCTTTTTTAATGATTATTCTGACAGCTGCAGTAAATGCCACGAAAGCAATTACATTTATAATAAAGTGTTATGATTACGATCATGATTTCTTGTGACGATCCTAATTGATATAGCAAATATTTCGAAAGCATTTTGTTCCTTAAACTTTTAGGGTTAATCTGTGAAAGAGTTTATGATCCTATTCGGTCAAATATTTAGACGATCGTGATCATGATATTTGAATAAAACAATGATCTTGATCTTTCGAATGCAAGCAAAAGAATTTTGTCCCCTTAAATATGTAGTTTAAAATGCAAAGCTTTCATATTTAGTCACATGAAAATGACATGATCTATTTCATGATCGTATACGATCAAATATTTAGACGATCGTGATCACGATATTTTAATAAAACAATGATCTTCGTCGCTTTAGTAAATATTTCGAAAGCAAGCAAATGCATTTTGTTCCCTAAAATATATAGTTTATTTAGCCACATTAAAATGACATGATCAAGAGATCACGAACTTTTTTAATGATTATTCTGACAGCTGCAGTAAATGCCACGAAAGCAATTACATTTATAATAAAGTGTTATGATTACGATCATGAGTTCTTGTGATGATCATAACTTTCGAAAGCATTTTGTTCATTAAAGTATATAGTTTTAAGATCAAGTCATTACCAATTCTTCATAAAAAAGACGTGATCAAGAGATCATGATCTTTTTTCAAAGATTATTCTGATAGCTGCAATAAATGCTTCAAAAGCCATTACAAGTATAATAAAGTATCATGATCACGATCTTTTTTTTAAGATGATCATGACAAAACATGTCGATCGCATTTTGTTCCTTAAAATATGTAGTTTTAATTGAAATAAAGTAATTACCAATGCATTTATATATAGCCATATGAAAAAATGAGATGATCAGGAGATCACGATCTTTTTTTAATGATCATTCTACACACAATTACATTTATAATAAAGATCACGATCTTTTTCTTAAGATGATCCTGACTGATACAGCATATAGTTCGTAAGAAAGCGTATTGATCTGAATAGAAAATAGAATTTAGGAGCATCATCAGCAATAGGCGAAATCTGTTCCTGGTATTATCCTTTAAACAGCGAAGTACAATATAGAATATATTTAACACCAAAAAGAAAGTTATTTTAAAATAACTTTTGAAATAAACCCTAAATTAGAAACATTTTTTGTATAATTTTAATCCAAAAAACACACGACGATGTACACATGTAATTGAGCTGATGTAAGAAATGTTTGCGTAAGATGATAAACGACTGATTCAATAACTGTTTATTTGTTATTAAAAAGTGTTCAAGCCAAGTTAATATTATTAGAGAGAAATTGTATGTAAGAGAATTTGTTTCTATATAGTATGTATTATGTAAATTAGCTTGATTTAGTGTAACTGTTTTGTAGTTTATAGTTTCATTGTTTTATGATTTTTTAATTAAATTTAATTCTTTTACACAAAATATTCTAAATTCGATTAAAAAAAATTATGTCAACGAAAATTAGTGCAAAAATCAAAATGACATTACACATTACACTAGATTTGTAAAAAGGTGTAGATTTAAAAAAAAAATTACAAGAAAAATAATGTATTGATTGATTGTTTTTTTGTTTTTTTTATAATATTGAATCGATCGAATAAATTAGATTAGATACACACACATACATATACAAAAAACTTAATTATAAAGTAAATAGAGACAAGACACAATAAGAAAGAGTGTGAAAGAAGTTTTATAATAAACAACAATAAAACAAAATGAACGAAAGAAAAAAAAATCAATAACAAAAACAATTTAATAATCATATAATACATACACAGAGATACGAGAATAAAAGGGACATTCACACAACAAAAAGTGACACAAATATATAACAACAATAACCGTAATAATAATAAATAATTACAAATTAAGTAATAAATTTATTATACTTTATTATTATTATTGTTATTGTTGTAATTATAATTAATAATCCATAATTATTATTAATAAATGATGTAGTAGTTGAAAAAAATTCAAAACAAAATTGTTTTTTATGTAGAACGTATAAACAAAGTGTTACGCAATTACGAGAAAAAAGTGTATTTACGATACGATATTACGATACGATAAATAATTTACGATAAAAATTTATAACGAGTAGTTATAGCAACTCTTTTTTTTTTGTTTGTTTTGAAATGAGTTATAAATTTTTGTAACAAAAGTAGTATTTTAAGTAAGAATGTAGTAAATTGTTTTAAGTAAGTGGTAAAGTAAGTAGTAGTAATGATTTTTTTAGTAGTAAGTAAGTAAGTAAGTAGTAGCAGTTTAAGTATGTATGAAAAATTATAGAGTTAGTTTAGAAAAAAGTTAATAATGGACGCATACATGAGCTTTTTAACTTCGTAAGCAAGTTGATAGCCCGCATAAGGATTAGCTTCATTTTCGGGAGGCCTGAAACAAAACCGTTAAAATTAAAGAGAAAAAAAAACGTTTTTAAGCATTTGCTTACAATGTTGTTAATATTTTTTAATGTTTTAGATTTTTTTGTTTAAATTTAATAAATTTAAGTTAATTTGACTGTTTATTTTTATTTAAGTTTAAAGTTTATTAATATAAAATTTGCAACCATAGAGATTATATATTTTGGAAATGTTTCATAATAAGAAATTTGTTAAATAATTTCAGTTTCTTACTTATGCAGAAGAAACTGTTATACAATAGATTTTCAATTGAGGGAACTAGTGTAAACAAGTTTATTTGTGGAAAAAACTGTTGTACAGAAAGTTATCTATAAAGAAAACTGTTGTTCAGAAGATTTTCTATAGAAAAACTGTTATACACAAAATATTCTTTAAAATACACTCTTACACAAAACAGTTTCTACAGTACAAACTATTGAAGAAACTGTTATACACAAGACTTTCTGTTGAGGAATCTGTTTTAAAAAGATTTTACTATAGAAAATACTGTCATACACAATATACAGAACTGTTTCCTATAGAATAAACTGTTATACAGATGATTTTCTACAGAATAAACTGTTATAACAAAGATTTTCAGAGTATTTTTTATAGAAGAAGATATTTGTCTGTAGAAAATACTGTTTTACAGAAAATGTTCCATAGAGAAAACTGTTATACAGAAGATTTTCTACAGAAAAACTGTTATACACACAATTTTCTTTAAAATAAACTATCATAAAGAAGATTTTCTACAGAACAAACTGTTCAAGAAACTTTTATACACAAGACTTTCTATTGAGGATTCTGTTTTAAAAAAGTTTTTCTGTAGAAAATACTGTCATACACAATATACAGAACTGGTTTCTATAGAACAAACTTTTATACAAAAGATTTTCTGAATATTTTCCTTTGTAAAAGAAACTATTTATCTTTATAAAATACCGTTTTACAAAAAACTGTTATACAGAAAATTTTCTATAGAAAATCTGTTATACAGAAAATTTTCTATAGAAAAACTGTTATACACAAAATTTTCTTTAAAATAAACTGTCATACAGAAGATTTTCTACAGAACTAACTATTGAAGAAACTATACACAAGAGTTTCTATTGAGGAATCAGTTTTAAAAATGTTTTTCTGCAGAAAATACTGCCATACACAATATATAGAACTGTTTTCTATAGAATAAACTGTTATACAGATGATTTCCACAGAAAAAACTATTATACAAAATATTCTACTAATATTTTTTATTGAAAAAACTATTTATCTCTAAAAAATACTGTTTTAGAGAAAATGTTATATAGAGAAAACTGTCATACAGAATATTTTCAAAAGAAAAATTATTATAAACAACATTTTCTTTAAAATAGACTGTCATACAGAAGATTTTCTACAGAACAAACTATAGAAGAAACTTTTATACACAAGACTTTCTATTGAATCTGTTTTTCTATAGAAAATACTGTCATACACAATATACAGAACTGTTTTCTTTATAATAAAATCTTATACAGATGATTTTCCACAGAACAAACTGTTATACAAAATATTTATAGAATATTTTTTTATAGAAAATACTATTTATCTGTAGAAAATATTGTTTTACAAAAATACAAGATTTTCTTTAAAATTAACTATTATACAGACTATTATACAGATTTCATAACATTTTTCTTAAAAAAAACTGTTATACACAAGACTTTCTGTTGAGGAAACTGTTATAAAGAAGTTTTTCGGATAAAAATTTGCAATAGTTCGATCAAAATCCAATTCTGATTCATTAAGATTTGACGTATTATTCATGAAGAAATATATCATCTTAATATCAAAATTTGGTGCAACACGATCATAAATGTATCAAATCGAAAACATAGGAACATTAAAATTCCCCTTCTGTTACCACAGCCTAGTGCGTTATCCAGGTTAGATGTGCCATTGGGGATATTTGTTGGATCTGTATCTTCAGGAAAGTCTCAACAAAATCGTTGAAATGTACGAACAGTTCTTGTTTCAAATCATACAGTTCACATGACAATGATATATAAAAATGGAATTTGACACTCTTTTTAAGTTTTGCAGTTTAATAATCAAGTCATAAAGCCTTAAGAGCTCTGATACTCACAATGATATTATCATTTCCGATCACCGATTTATAGAAACTTAATTAATTAAAAAGTCAAACGCATTAAACGGGAATTTTAGGGAAGAACAAGCACGCAATTTGTCTATCTTTCAATACTTTTTGAGAGTTTTTTTGGTGCTCATTTAATCGGAGATCGTAGTGATCCTCAAATACATCATGTTTGAAAACATGATGTGATTGAGGATGTTTGAAAACACTTGGCAACATTAACACTTGTTTCTAAATTTCTCAGAAATACGAGGTGTAAACTTGTGATCAGGGACTCCAGTAGTTTTGGAAGACTTTTAAACACTCTGTACCCCCTCCTATATTGTTTACTTCAGCTAGTAAGATCGTTTAATTTAATGTCTATCTCTTTTCTTCTTATTTATGAAACATTTCCATTTTATTAATAAATATATAAAACAGTGTGTTCTTAACATTTAAAGAAATTAAATAATATTCATTGCATTTAAAAACAAAAAGCAAAAAGAATTAAAAACAAACTAAAAACAACTTAAAAAACACAAATAATTAATTACAATTAGTTATTTTATTTATCATTATTATTAATAGTTATTAGTTTTTTTTATTAATGTTTTACATATATTTTTTGTTTGTTTTTTATTTATTTTTTTTTTTTGGTATTTTAGGTAACATGTATTTTTTGTTGTTGTTATTGTTGATTGTAGTTTATACATGGTTGTATTTATATGAGACATTATGACAACAGTAGTTTTTTTAATAAATGAGATTTTAGGACTTTTTCATTCAGTTTGTTTTAAAAAGGTAATTAAATTAAATTATTTTTCTAGTTTAGACAGCACTAAAATCACATTATATTTTTAAAAAAATTAATAAAGAAAATTATAGTAGAAAGAGAGAAAAAACATTTAAGCGTTTTCTTTGTACATAGTGCTTCCATATTTTTTTTTTTTTTTTGTTTTTTTTTTATATAAAATCCATTTACATAGTATTTTTTTATTTATTTTTATAGAATTCTTTTATATATATTTTTTTTAAAGATAGTGGTAGTGTGTGAAGTTTTTCTTTAAACATTTTTAATTATTTTTTTTTTTTTAATTTTACTCACCGATTGTATTGGGATGGTGACATGACTTGTCCTTCCAGTTGTTGTCTATTTACAGTTGGTTTAACTTTGTTCACCTGCTTAACGGTGCCAGCAGAATGTAAGGCTGTTGTACCATTTCCTGGTCCCATACCAGTTGAACCATTCGGTCGACGGGTATGGCGATTTAGTACTGAAAAAAAGTTATAATATTTTTTTTTAGCTGTTTATTAAAAGATTTTCTATATCAGATACTGTTATATGCAAAATTTTCTAGAGAAGAAATTATTTTACATAAAACCTTAAAATTGCTTAAAAACCATAAGATTCTTTATAGACTAGCCTATAGACTAGACTATAGACTAGACTACAGACTAGACTATAGACTAGACTACAGACTAGACTATAGACTAGACTACAGACTAGACTACAGACTAGACTATAGACTAGACTATAGACTAGACTATAGACTAGACTATAGACTAGACTATAGACTAGACTATAGACTAGACTATAGACTAGACTATAGACTAGACTATAGACTAGACTATAGACTAGACTATAGACTAGACTATAGACTAGACTATAGACTAGACTATAGACTAGACTATAGACTAGACTATAGACTAGACTATAGACTAGACTATAGACTAGACTATAGACTAGACTATAGACTAGACTATAGACTAGACTATAGACTAGACTATAGACTAGATTATAGACTAGACTATAGACTAGACTACTAGACTATAGACTAGACTATAGACTAGACTATAGACTAGATTATAGACTAGACTATAGACTAGACTATAGACTAGACTATAGACTAGATTATAGACTAGACTATAGACTAGACTATAGACTAGACTATAGACTAGACTATAGACTAGACTATAGACTAGACTATAGACTAGACTATAGACTAGACTATAGACTAGACTATAGACTAGATTATGGACTAGACTATAGACTAGACTATAGACTAGATTATAGACTAGACTATAGACTAGACTATAGACTAGACTATAGACTAGATATAGACTAGACTATAGACTAGACTATAGACTAGACTATAGACTAGACTATAGACTAGACTATAGACTAGACTATAGACTAGACTATAGACTAGACTATAGACTAGACTATAGACTAGACTATAGACTAGACTATAGACTAGACTATAGACTAGACTATGGACTAGACTATAGACTAGACTATAGACTAGACTATAGACTAGACTATAGACTAGATAGACTAGACTATAGACTAGACTATAGACTAGACTATAGACTAGGACTATAGACTAGACTATAGACTAGACTATAGACTAGACTATAGACTAGACTATAGACTAGACTATAGGACTAGACTATAGACTAGACTATAGACTAGACTATAGACTAGACTATAGACTAGACTATAGACTAGACTATAGACTAGACTATAGACTAGACTATAGACTAGGACTATAGACTAGACTATAGACTAGACTATAGACTAGACTATAGACTAGACTATAGACTAGACTATAGACTAGACTATAGACTAGACTATAGACTAGACTATAGACTAGACTATAGACTAGACTATAGACTAGACTATAGACTAGACTATAGACTAGACTATAGACTAGACTATAGACTAGACTATAGACTAGACTATAGACTAGACTATAGACTAGACTATAGACTAGACTATAGACTAGACTATAGACTAGACTATAGACTAGACTATAGACTAGACTATAGACTAGACTATAGACTAGACTATAGACTAGACTATAGACTAGACTATAGACTAGACTATAGACTAGACTATAGACTAGACTATAGACTAGACTATAGACTAGACTATAGACTAGACTATAGACTAGACTATAGACTAGACTATAGACTAGACTATAGACTAGACTATAGACTAGACTATAGACTAGACTATAGACTAGACTATAGACTAGACTATAGACTAGACTATAGACTAGACTATAGAGAGACTATAGACTAGACTATAGACTAGACTATAGACTAGACTATAGACTAGACTATAGACTAGACTATAGACTAGACTATAGACTAGACAATAGACTAGACTATAGACTAGACTATAGACTAGACTATAGACGAGAATATAGACTAGAATATAGACTAGACTATAGACTAGACTATAGACTAGACTATAGACTAGACTATAGACTAGACTATAGACTAGACTACAGACTAGACTACAGACTAGATTATAGTCTAGACTATAGACTAGACTATAGACTAGACTATCGACTAGACTATCGACTAGACTATAGACTAGACTATTGGCTAGAAGAAGATTTTATGCGGAACAAACTGTTATGAGGGAAATGTTACAGAATAGTGTCCATAGAGAAAACTGTTATACAGAAGATTTTTCATAGAAGTAACTGTTATACAAAAGATTTTTATAGAAGAAACTATTTATCTGTAGAAAATACTGTTATAAAGAAAATTTTTTACGGAAATAACTGTTGTAGAGAAGATTTTCTATAGAAAATCTGTTATACATAAGATTTTTATAAAAGAAACTGTCATACTGAAGATTTTATACAGAATAAACTGTTATACGGTAGATTTTCAGAAGGTTTTTCATAGAAGAAACTGTTATACACAAGACTATCTATTGAGGAAGCTGTTATAAAAAAAAGTTTTTCTCTAGAAAATACTGACATACGTTAGGTTAGGTCATACGTAGTAAACAAAATATTTTCGGAATATTTATTTATAGAAGAAACTATTTATTTGTAGAAAATACTGTTATACAGAATATTTCCTATGGATAAAACTATTATATTCCTAATAATTTCTGTCGAATAAACTATCACAACGATCATTTTCTATATAAAAAATTGTTATACAGAAGATTTTCTATGGAGGAAACTGTTATACAAAAGTCTAAACTGTTATAAACAGAAAATTCTACAAAACAATCTCTTATAGAAAAGATTTTCTTTAAGAAAACTTTAATACATAAGATTATCCATTAAATATTTCTCTTATTGCCCTTTTAATTAATATAATTCTTTGATGTCATTCTTTATTAATATTAAAATTTAAATAAAACTACTTACGATTCATATCTTCACGATCTCTGGTTATATCACCTTTTGTTTTTGTTGATTTTGCAACAAAGAAATAAATAGAAGAAAAAAGAATATTAAAAAAATAGAAATTAATATTTTCCAAAATTCTACAAAAATAATTGGACGAAAAAAAATTATGTTATTAGTTAAGCTAGAGAAAGGTATATTTTTTAAACATTTTTGTTTCAGTGTAATTGGCAATATTAACTCAACACGGGTATTTTTGTTTCTATTTCTTATTAAATCAAACAAATATGTTAGCAAAAAGATGGCTGTTTTTACAAAATATTTAGAAGAAAAATCTACAAAATTATATTCTATTTATAATATACAATATTTTACACAAGCAGCCATCTTGTTTGGTAAAGTGTTAGAAATTTTGGAATTTTAGAGTTTTTCTGGGAGTTTTTTTTAAGAAAAAGGTTTTTGAAAAAAGTATTTAGTAGTAGTAGTAGTTTCTGTTGTTGTTTTGTTTACAAAAGTTTTATTTATAAAATAATAATAAAAAACCAAAAATTATTGAAATAATAAAATACTTAAAAACAAGCCATTTAATTAAATGCAAATTATTTTCATAATAATTAATACTTAATGAACAGAGGGGGTTCAATAAAATTATTTATATTATTAATTTTACATCAGAATAATAATATTAGCAAAATATATTTAATATTTAACGAAAATTAAAAAAATAATAATAATAAAGTTGGTGGAGCAAAAATTAAAAATTAACTTAAAAACTGGATTAAAATAATTAGATGAATGCAAGCCAGAAAAGTTTAGTTTAGTTTTCGAATAGAGATGAGAGAAGTTGATGATCAATTTCTATAATTATTTTTTACAAATTTAACTATTCCGGTTTACAGGTTTTTTATTTAAATTATATAATTTTTTAAAATTTTTTGTTTGAAATAGTTATATAAAAAATTACATGCTTTTCAAAATACACACGTAGATTTTGGTTTAAATAACTTTAATTGGAGTAATTTATTTATAATATATAAAGTATATATTTATATAGAAATATATGTATATATAGAGAGAGAGAGAGTATAACAGTAAATTAGAGTGAAAGAGAGAGAATTTATTTTTGTTTAAAGGATGTTTGGTATTCTTTGAGAATCAAGAGATAAATTAGAGTAAAAGTTTTAAAGATTGAAGAAAAAAAAAGTTTTAAAAATAAACTACAATCAAATAAAAAAACTGAAATATTTTAATAATTTAAAAAAGCCAAAGTAAATATAATAAAACTTAAGAATTGTTTTATTTATTTATTTTTTATTTAAAGTTTTCCTTTGTTTTCCTAACACATTATTTTTTTTTTCTATACAAAATGTCTAAAAAACTTCCTTTCTTTTGTTTATTTTGTAATTTAAAGGAAATATTTATTTATGATTTTTACCCGATATTGATCGACGCACATGCACCCTTTTCGGTAGTTCTGGTGGTGTAAAAGTGGGTGCAGGATGGTGATCATCTGTAAGATTAATTTCCATTGAATCAGCATATTCATTTAAAAGATTTTTTTTTTGTTTTGATTAGAAAAACAAAAAATTATATATTTAAATATATATATTTTTTTTCTTTGGTGATTAATTTTTTTTCAATATTTGTTTCATTCAAATTAGGAAAAATTATAAAAATAATGTTTTTGTTTATTTAAAAGAAAATAAATTCAAAAACTGAAAAAATATCTTTAAAAATGGGAAGTTTTTTTTTTAATAAATAGTGTAAAATTAAATTAATAAAAATTAATTAATAAAAAGGAGACATTTGACATTTGGTGAATCGATTCAATTTATTTCCTTTCGACTTTAATATCTTTATTATTTGATAGTTTATTTTTCATATAAAACTAAATCTTAGTTAAATTTAACTATTCTAGGACTAGTTTGCTAGTCTATTAGTCTAGGGGTTGTGGGTTCGGTTCTCTTCAAAAGTTTTGTTATGTTTTCATTACAACGAGCGTATGGTCTAGGTATTGTTATATAATTTTATATATAATCCAATAATTGATCTATTGGTTAAATATTTTAATTATTTTAGGAAACGGAATCTTTAATCTACTTACCAAGAAGTAGTTAGGTAATAATCAATAATTTTTGAAAGAAAATACAAATAAAGTTTTACGTTTGTGAAATAACTAGATCTATTTTCTGGGATCCAGCCCGATTCTTTCTTATACATAGGGTCAAATGACTCTTCAGGGTTATATGATTCGTGATTTGACCAGAATACTTATGATATCTGATACTACGCAAGTCAGAGGATCGCAGAACCTTTTTTAAACAGGCTATTAAGAATAGAGGTATTACCAGTACCTCTTGTCTGCCGAGTTTAGAAACTGAAGAAGTCAAATGACTCCCCGGGGTTATATAATTCGCGATTTGATCAGAATACTGAAGATATCTGGTACGACGGGTGTCAGAGAATCGCAGAATCTTTCCTGTACTGGCTATAGGGAATAGAGGTGTTACCAGTTTCACTAGTCTTTCGAGTTTAGAAACTGGAGGAGTTATATAATTCGCGATCTAATCAGAATACTGATGTTATCTGATACTACGGCAGTCGGTGTCAGTTTCTTTCTTTCTCATTCATAGGGTCAAGTGACTCATTAGGGATATCTGGCACTGCAGGAGTCTGAGTCTGCCGAGTTTAGAAACTGAAGGAGTCAAATGACTCCATAGATCGCCATTTGATCAGAATTCTTATCTGGTACAACGGCTGTGAGAGGATCGCTGAATCTTTTCTGTACTGGGTTTAGAGAATAGAGGTCTTACCAGTATTACTAATATTTCGAAATTAGAAACTTCATATATGATTCGCGATTTGATCAGAATACTGATAGTACGCTAGTCAGAGGATCGCAGAATCTTTCCTGCACTGGCTATTGAGAATCGAATTATTACCAGTACCACTTGTCTGCCGAGTTTGAAAACTGAAGGAGTAAAATGACTACTCGGGGCTATATGATTCCGATTTGATTAGAAAACTGTTGTTATCTGGTACTACAAGAGTTTGAGGATCGCAGAATATAATTGATGTTATCTGATACTACGAGAGTCAGTGAATCGCACAGTCTTTCCTGTACTAGATATGGGGAATATAGGTGTTACCAGTATCATTAGTCTGCCGAGTTTAGAAACTGGAGAAGTCAAATGACTCCCCAGGGTTATATGATTTGCAATTTTATTGGAAAACTGTTGTACTACAAGAATTTGAGGATCGCAGAATATTTCTTGTACTGGCCATAGGGAATAGAGGTGTTACCAGTACCACTAGTCTACCGATACTAGAAACTGGAGTAGTTAAAAGACTCCTCTGGGTTATATGAATCGCGATATTCTGGATACTGATGTTACCAGCACTTCGTATTTCAGAGGGTCGCAGAATCATTTTTGTAGTGGGTATTGGAAATTTCGTGTACCACTAGTCTGTCGAGTTTAGAAACTAGGAGAGTCAAATGACTCCTCGTGGTGCAGAATCTTTCTGTACAGGCTATTGAGAATAGAGGTGTCACCAATATCACTAATCTGCCGATATTAGAAACTGTAGCATTTAAAATACTCCTCAGTTTGTTATATGATTCGCGATTTGATCAGAATACTGATGTTATCTGGTAATATGAAAGTCAGGGGATCGCAGAAAATAGAGGTACATAAGTATTCACAACAATATCTGTCGAGATTAGAAACTGGACTCCTCGGGGATATATGACTCGTGATTTGACCAGTTATCTGGCATTACGGAAGTCAGTGCATCGCAGAATCTATGGCTATGGGGAGGAATACATAGTTGTTGTGGTTAAAACCCAAATCTAGGCAGGGTAAAATTAATATTTCTAAATAAGATTTCATGACAAGAATACAGTATCGCTCAATAAACCCTTAAAAAATGTATCATACAAAAACAGATTCATTTTCTTGGTTGCCTTTTTTAGTTATATAAATATGCCTATTGCCTACTTTGGGGCGTGTTAAAGGAATTAAATTCAGTAACTATTTAAAAAAAAAGGTTGACAAAACTTCTACTTTATAACGAAATTTATTTATAAATACTTTTAAATTGTTATGAAGTTAAACTTAAAAAAAATCACTTAATCTTTTGCTGAATTGCTGTAACGTAAAAATATGTTGCCTACTATAAGGCTTAACAAAATATTTAAACTATTTTTATACTTTCATTCTTAATCCCTTTCCTTTTTTTTTTTTTTGTTAAACAAACTTTTTAACTGTCAAATGTCAAATTTTTGAAACCAAAAATAAACAAAGTTTTCCCTATAAAAACATAATAAACTTTTTTTTAAACGAAATGAAGAAGAAAACACAAAATAGAGGAATTTATAGGGGGAGACCAAAAGGGATTAATAATTAAAGGATTGAACTTTGGAAAAAAAGGTGGGACAAAAACTGAAAATAATTTTACAATTTTATATAAAGGAATATAAGAGAATAATAAAATGTTACATGCAGACATTACACTACTTTATATATTTTACAATACATACTATACATTCGTATTTTATTAAGAAAAGGAAGAGAAAAAGACAAACAAACTACATTTTAAATACAAATAAGATCACACACACATACACGTTACAAATTTGTAACTGTTTAGAAAGAGATAGAGTATTTATTATACACATATTAAAACAGAAAGAGAGCAAGCACAGTGCGACTACGAATATGAAATTATTTTTACATATTTTACACAGTACAACGAAAATTAAAAATGTTATTATTAATACGTTAAATGAAGGGTAACAAAATTTGATACAATTTATAAATTATTACACCTACAAATCAGAGTTTGTTCAATATTTTAAACATAATATTGTTGTTTTTTTTCTTTTGTCATAATTTTATATTTTCTTAAATCTTCCTCGTCTGTTGATGTTTGATTTTGCTACTTTTTTTAACTTGGTTTTTTTTTGGGTTTATATTTTTCTACTTAATTGTATTTCTGAATTAAAGCAAAAATATTTAAGTTTTGTATTTTATAACTATAAATATAAAAACACGTAGATGAGTTTATTGAAAATCTAAAGTATTGATTTCAAAACTTATAATATTGAGCTTTGGGCAGCTTTAAAAGAAACACTGTGTCTAGGACGCAACTGATGTTTAAATATCTTTTACATTCGCTAAATAAAACTAAACCATTTGTAGTATTTTTATGTTTTGTAAGACATTTGGTGGAGTTCTTAACATTATTTTTCTAAAAATAAAGTCAAGATTTTAATTATTTTATTTCATTTCTTTTCTTTATAACAAGCCAAACTTGACACCATAATTAACGCAGTTTTTTTATTTTTTCTAACTTTTTCTTCTTAAAAAAAAAACTAAAAATCAAATTTAAATTATTTAAAATTCAAAACAAAGAGCAACAACTAATAAATTAAACTAAAAAGAAAAACTTATGTTTTTTATATAAATTTAACACTCTATGAATGTAATGATTTATCTTTTTTTTATTTAAATTATAAATTTGAAAATGTTATAAAAAATTCTAATTACGTTTGTTTGAGAAAACACTTTGAAAATAAAAAATCAACTAAAAAAAGTTATAAATATATGAGAAGACAATTATAAAGAGACAAAAAGAATAGAATTGAATAAAAATCAGCACACGTGACTTACTTGTCTGGTAGTAATCTTCATCTTCTATATATTTTTCATTGATTCATTCATTCATTACAACAGCAGTTTATTTAGAGTTTGATTTAGTTTTTTTTTTTTTTTTTGGTAATGGAGATGATTTTTTTATATAGATTTTTTTTGATTTCATATATTTTGTAGAGAAGGAGTTTACAGAGATAATTTTATGTGATGTGTAGTTTACGTGACGTTACGTTTTTTTTGTTTTATTTTATTTTTACAAAATACAATTTAAGAAAAGAATATATAACTTTAGTAATCATAGTTTTTGGTAAATGAACACAATATTTATGAAATAATTTGAAAAGAAAATTAAATAATAATAATAATAAATTGGTATGTAAGTTGGCGTTAATGTTTGGGAATTAAAAGGAAATTTTTAGGTAAATTGCTTAAATGTTTTTTGGAGCTGAAATTGTATTTTAGATTGTGTGTTGTAGTATTTGGAATTCCATTAATGTAAATTAGTTTAACATTATTCAAAAGTTACATATTAAAAAATAGATCCCTTTACCTTCAATTATAAAACATTTTAAGAAATTTATGCAACAGGTTCGAGTGCGAAAAATGTAAGGATGGTCACAACCTTAATTCTAATCTTGCCCAGTGGAGAGAGAAAAAATATCTCTCTGAGGAGATCTGTCAGAGAAAAAGTTTTTTAGTATAGTCTAGTCATAGTCTAGTCATGGTCTAGTCATAGTCTAGTCATAGTCTAGTCATAGTCTAGTCATAGTCTAGTCATAGTCATAGTCTAGTCATAGTCTAGTCATAGTCTAGTCATAGTCTAGTCATAGTCTAGTCATAGTCTAGTCATAGTCTA